TCGGGCGCGTGTTCAAATGGCAGACAAACAGGTCCGACTGATTTACTGAATTCTATCAGTCCTGATATCGTAAGTACTGCAATGTCGTGGTACACCCCCGAGTAATACGGATGAATATTTATGGATTTCACTGAGAAAATAGTTGCTGCTGGGTTCTGCTGACCTGAGAGTTAAAAATCGGAATTTCCCTTCGTCACGTCGTATTCACTACATTTTTGCTACTAAACTATAAATTTACTCTTAAACATGATTTATATCTTCGAAATATTCACGAACCACATTATTATCAATTAATGTTGATTATTATTAAAATTAAATTAAGATTATTCTCAATTGATACTGAAATTTGAAATGCATTTTGTTTTCACTTGTTCAGTTATCGGTGGATATCTCGTGAAAGGGAAGAGATAGAGGAATTTTCATAGGATTATTTTTTGTAGAGAAATATGTGGACTTGAAAAAAGATTTATATAAAAATTTTGGTAGATCTCCTCATTTCGGAGGTATTCATCGATAATTGGAGTGAAGCCAAATACAGGTTCTCGGATTTATCGATTAATTACGGTATTTTTGGAATTAATTAAGGTTTTTTTTGTGTGAACTCACTTAATTTTGTCTCGTGCGTTCCAACTACAACTCTTAAAAAATTAGGGTCTTTGTATTGTAAACAACTAGCTGCTGTGACGACTTGACGATTGTTGATAATTGTTGCACCACAATAAATTTCTGAATCGAAGAGATCAACGAGACCCGCCATCATCGGGTACTCGTTCACCCCAGTCTCATTACCCCCTACAATTTTCGCCTGACCATAAAAACAATAAAAAAAGAATAATTCCATGATTCGGTAATATTTCACGGTAAAATTTCAGTTATAAAATGACAAACTCGCATAATTGCATTTTTTTCGTTGTCTGTTTTTATCCAAAATCTCGGAATTGAATAGAGATACCGATTTTCTTATAGATACCTTTTTTGTGGGGCTCATCCTTTCCTATGAAAAAGGTTAATACAAAAAATTCGCTATTTCAATTCAATTCCGAGATATTGACGAAAAATTGGGGTTGAGGAAAAATTAATCACCGGATTTTTCCACCCGCAGTGACACTTATCTCTCTCATCCCCTAGTGCATCTTCGTCGGGAGGTGTTTTTATGTCGCACTCGAAAGTGCCCCCGGTGGAATTATCAGAAGTGATAAGAGTAATTGCAACTCTGTTATATACTTTGAAAATTAAGGAGACGCGACCGCAGTACGTGCGAGGCACGTCATCCTGATCCTGAATTATCAGCGAATCCTCATTACACTCAGAACTCTAAAAAAAATGACCACCAGATCTCATAAGATTAATTAAAAAAACAAACAATTGACATTAAAATTTACCCGTCGTAATAACAATAAAAATATTTCTGCGGAATCTGCGGAAAAATATAAATTTTTACAACAACGAGAGAATAAAATTTCCTGTAATCAACAGGAAAAATAATTACTAGTAATTAATGAATCCATAACTAGTCGATGGATTCATGAATTTCAATCATTCGTCAGGCGATTGAGTAATTAATTATTATTCCTGTGGAAATTATTATCATTTGGGGATTATTTATTGATAATACTTCTGGTAGTGTCAGTGAACAATTAACATCCAAGAAGCGATCATTCGTGATGGTGATCCATTGGCAATAATTCTCCCCTTCATATTCCCGCGGAAAATGAGGATTGTATACTGAATACGACTCTCCACTCCCCAATTCCTGGAAATAACTGCAATTTGGATTTGGGGAGTTGCTGATTCCACTCGATTGTTGCAGAAGAACGAGGAGCAATATTTCTGCAATTTCCCGAGGAATAAAAATATTTTTTTACATCTCTATCATTCATACTTGAGTGCCGACTCGAATCGATTATGAATTCGAATCGAATAAAAATATTTTCTTTACTGGAATATTTTTTTCGAATGAATTGTATTTTATTTAAGACTCTATTCACTTTAAATAATTATTTTGGTATTATTACCTAATTGAGATAATTATTTTACGTTTTTCACTTACCAGTTAACATTTTACAAGTCGTGACACATTGACCACTGCTACTTCCTTCTCTAAATAACTTCGAAGGTAATCGGCTTGTTTGCCTGATCGGTTTTGCGTGGTTGATAACGATAGGACAACCTCCTGCAGTTTTTACTCGTCAATTTTCTCCGTTTTGTATACCATTAAGACGAGTGGTAAATTAATTACTTTACCGATCAGTTCAAAAGACAATTGCAGATAATTACACTCAACGTTCGATGATGGTGAAAATTTTTTATTTATTGTACAGTTGATGGGGTATAATAATGAATTTTATTTGTTTACTTGTTTTTGTATTCCAGTCCCTGTGGTCTCTCACTCCAACTGACAATATGGATACTCTATAAATAAAAAAAGAGACAACTAATTAAAACTCACAAATTTCAGGTCTGAGAGGAGATTTTTTTCAATTAATTCTCTCCAATTCGGTAATTTTTCTTGGGATGCATAGAATTTCGCTGGAATCGGTAGCTAGTGTATGACTTACTGAAGTAATTGTTTGCAATGATAAAATTCATGTACGCCCCAACTCGGGTGTTGATTCCTGGGTCACCCTCGCCGCAACTCGGGCTTCCAAAACTCACGAGACCCGCGAGAATCAGACGTTTAGTTGCTGGACTTCTGAATAAGAGGGGACCACCACTATCAAACTAAAAAAATTCAATCTTATCATAAAAAAATCGGCAAAAAAATCAATCCTGCAGTCAAAGGATGAAACGAGAAAAATTTACCCCTCCCCTAATTTCTTTCAAGAATATCTCCGCAATTAAGGGAGATATCAAAATTTTTGTGATAATCTTTTTTATAGAGCTATTCGAAAACAACGAGAAAGGTTATTACGAAAATTTCGTAATTTCACTTATTTTTGGAGATATTTTGAATTTTCGTAGGTGAATAATTTGCGGATTTTGTCAGTTGTTTGATGAGGACGGGACTCCGATGATTCGGAGGGTTATCGCGGTTGGAGTTGTGAGATTAGATCGATGAATCGAAAATTTACCTGACAGGAGTCTTTTCCTTGGGCCAGGGTGCACATCTGGTTGGAATTCGTCCGTGGACGAGCTCGTTGACA